AACATATTGCAAATACAATTGGTCATTATTAATGTGCATTTAGACATTCACAAGGCTGGTAATTTCAGTCCTTCCCAGAACACACTGCACATCAAGTTTTTAAGTTATAAAGACTTTTGTAAGTGTTGCTTGCAGAGTGTCAGATGAAGAGAAATAATGACTAATAAGGTCCTATAGTGCAGTTGATTAGGTAATATATTACTTATTGTATATATTCAATTCAACTATCACTCAAGTATCCTGCATTTATAGGCTTTGATGGGGTGGTGTTTTGTTTGAAATGGAGTCTTGCTGTACAGCCCAGGCTGGCCACAAACTCACAGAGTTCCACCTGTTTCTGCCTCCAGAGTGCTGGAATTAAAGGCATGTGCCATCATACCCAGTTTAACATACTATAATGAACAAGTAGAAGGTACTAGCTACTAGGAAACAAGAACAATACAAAAGCTTCGCAAATAGAAATACATGTCGAGCTGAGCACAGTGGTGCACATCTTCAATGCAAGCACTTAGGAGGTAGAGGCAGGAGGAGCTCTCATTTCAATGTCAGCCTGGTCTACAGAGTGAGTTCCAGGACAGCCAGCGCTACACAGAGAACCCCTATCTTGAAGCCAGCTCCCTCCCCCCAAAAAAAGAAAAAGAAATACACAATGGTATAACCGAAATACTAAATAGTGTCTACTGTTTAAATAAACTAACTGCACTGAATAAAATCTGTGATGGACAATTGTTGTGTTACACTAGCATGAGACAAGCGTAAGTATATAATAAAAGATCATGGATGGTTTGGAAAAAAGTCATCAACCACAGGTCATAACTATGGCCCAGGAACCAAGTACTTCTGGGCTCTAATTCTTTAAAGGATTTCTTTTTATTTACTTATTTTTATTACATACAGTGTTCTGTCTGCATGTATGCCTACATGCCAGAAAAGAGCACCAGATCTCATGATAGATGGTTGTGAGCCACCATGGGGTTGCTGGGAATTGAACACAGGACCTCTGGAAGAGCAGTCAGTGCTCTTAACCTCCGAGCCATCTCTTCAGCCCCCACTTCTGGGCTCCAATCTTTTTTTATTTATTTGTTTATTGAGACAGGGTATCACTCTAGCCCAGGCTGGCAGGAACTCCCTGTGTAACCCAGGCTACCCTCAACCTTGTGATTCTTCTACCTCAGCCTTCTTATGGCTGGTATCATAGGTTTCAGGAGCCACCACACCTAACTTGCTTAGCTCTTCTAAACAGAAATGTATTTACTCCTCACCCACCATTGCCACACAGCTGACCACAGGGCTCAGAGGCAAGGTTTAAAACAAGTGAATTCAAGGTTAGCTGTGTGCAGGCCACTAACACAGTCAATGGTTCCTTGTAAGAAGAGCTCAGTAAATGTCTTATGGCCATTCATTTGAAAAGAGCAGTGGATGTTACACTGATCTGTCTAACCCTTCTTTTTTTTTTTTTTTTTTTTGGTTTTTTGAGACAGGGTTTCTCTGTATTGTTTTGGAGGCTGTCCTGGAACTCGCTCTGTAGACCAGGCTGGCCTCGAACTCACAGAGATCCTCCTGCCTCTGCCTCCCGAGTGCTGGGATTAAAGGCGTGCGCCACCAACGCCCGGTGCTGTCTAACCCTTCTTACACTCTCTTCTTTTCCTCATTCCTCCAAGTCCCTACCACACACTATGTACAAAGTAAGTTATCAGCATTCACACTGTAATCCTCAAATGAAACATAAAATACATGTCTGGAAAGCCAGATGGTGGTGGTGCACACCTTTAATCGCAGCACTCGGGAGGCAGAGTAGGCAGGTGGATCTATGTGAGTTTGAGGCCAGCCTGGTCTACAGAGTGAGTTCCAGTACAGCCAGGGCTATTGAAACAGAGAAACCCTGTCTCAAAAAAAAAAAACATGTCTAGATACCTGAAAAACACAAACATATCTAAGAACATAAAATACAACCTAAAACATCCATTAAGGTAAAAGTCCATCTGAGAAAAGAAGTAATTTGAATTCAAGCAAGAATGGATTTTTTTATTTTTATAATAAATTTTATTTAAATTAGAAACAATATTATTTTACATATCAATCCCAGTTCCTTCTCCCTCCTCTCATGCCCCTCACCAACCCCCCTATCCTGTGCCCCATCCACTCCCCAGGGAGGGTGAGGCCTTCCATGAAGGATCATCAAAATCTATCAAGTCATTTGGGGCAGGGCCTAGGTCCTCCCCTGTGTATCTAGGCTAAGAAGTCTGTTCGTGCACTAGCGATTTTTAAGTGTGATCTTACATTGTTTTCATAAGCAGAGGAAAGACCTGGGCTAATCTGGATCATTTTCCCAGGACAGTTCTGTTGATAATGAAATGAGCAAACCTCCACAGTTTATGCAACAAAGGTTCGGAGGCCTTTGCAAAAGTTGTCCTTGATCAAAGCTTATGGCAGATGCTGTGTGATATTCCTTTATCCCAGGGGAAGCAGCTTTCATGGAGTCTTGGGACCACTGTGATCAGTACATCTGGTTGGCATACATAAAATCCCTTCTCAGGACCCCATTTTCTTCCTTGTCATTCGAACAAAGAGTCATTGAGGTTTCTGGTGACTGCCACACTTGCTTCTCTCATCATTTCTTTACATTGAAGGCACCTCCTCAGTTTCATGACCGTTCCATGAAGTAGATACTCCCACCTCTAGTACAGGTTCCCCAGCTTTGTCAACACTATATTACCAACAGGAGTATATAGTAGGAGTGGGGGAGAACAGTCTGCTAAAACATATTTTATTCATAATGATAACAGTATTTAATGTACTTAATTAAGGAAAAACATATTTGTCTGCTCACATGTTAATTACTGGTTTTTCCATCTCATCAATTGTCTTGTGCTTCAGTTTTCCTGCATTAGACTGTAAGTTCAATCGGGGCTGGAGGGAGGCAGATGTTACAATTACTTAAAAACCTAAACTGAGTCTAAGCTAAGTGGATTTACATCCAACTTTTGTCATTACCTATTGTGTGAACCTACGAAGTCTCCTAACCCCTTAATGTCCTTATTTGTTAATTAGAGGCAATGAAACTTAACTTCAAGTTATATAAGGATAAATGATTTAAATTTTGTTAAGTAACTGGGATAGATAGTATTTGGCTCTTGGTTTGCCTTGCAGTAGGGTTTGGTATATTACAACAACAACAAAACAAAACAAAAATCAAAACAAAACAAAACAAAACAAAACTGCAGGACCAATTGACTTATTTCTTGCAATATCATCCTAAGATTTACTAAGTGAATCTGTGTAGGCTGTGATGGAGGGGAAGCCTCATCCACTCTGCGTTTCTGCCGCATTCTCCTTTTTTCTTTCTTTCTTTCTTTCTTTCTTTCTTTCTTTCTTTCTTTCTTTCTTTCTTTCTTTCTTTCTTTCTTTCTCTCTCTCTCTCTTTCCTTCCTCCCTCCCTCCCTCCCTCCCTTCTTCCCCCCTCTTTTCTTTGAGATGGGGTTTCTCTGTAACAGTCCTGGATGTCCTAGAACTGGCTTTGTAGAAAAGGCAGGCCTCAAACTCACAGAGATCTGCCAGTCTCTGCCCCCCGAGTGCTGGGATTAAAGGCATGTACCAACACTACCCAGCTTCTATCACACTTTCTAACACTGAGTGGAAAGCCAGGTATCAAAGGTATTCTTTATATTTTCTTGAACAATGCATCTGTTTATTTGACTGTTTCTGTTTTCATGTAAAAATGCTTATGAAACACTATACAGATGCAGCTCAACACCTTTAATTACTATGCAGGCCATAATGAAAGTGCAATTGTGACATATATGGGCTTTGCCATCACATAGTCCTATTTGATTACTATAATGTGACACAACCTCTCTGAACTTTAGTTTTCATGTACAAAAAATAAAAACTAAAAGAGGATATTTAAATAGGAATTTTGAGGATTAAATTATGTACTGTTCATAAAGTACCAAGAAAAGAACTAAGTATATGTCCAATAAATAGTAAGTGTTTTTCTTCCATGTAAATCCTAGTTTTAGTTGGAAATGTTATAATTTTAATATGTAATAGAATTTATGTATAACTTAAAATATTTAATTGACAAAAATTAAAATTCATTTGTGTAGCACAATATTTTCTTATAACATGCTGAAAGATTAGTAGTATTCTGGGGAATGGCAGAGTCCTGGCAGCAGAAAGGAGTTTCAAAAGTTTCTCCTTTCTCTTACACAGATGAATAACCTAGTATTTGGAGGGACAAGTGGGACGATAAAGGTTAGCATTTGGACCTCTTAATGTTCTGCCTCATAGTTTTCTCTGAAGCCAAGAATGGATTTTTGTACTGTTTTTATTCGTAGATTTGTTTCTATTAAAGCATAGCTAGCAGTATACCAAAATGTAATGAGCTAGTTAATGCACAAGTCAGATCTTGTATGTGTATACCATTATTACTATAATTATTAAGGCTAATAATTACTATAATAAACATGTATGTATCACTATACATTACTAAAGTGTTTTACAATATTTACCCATATTCTACTGATATTAAACCTGTTAAGCTCCAAAAGAGTTCTTATTCAGAATTAAGTATGACTCTTTTTAATAAAACCTATGGAAAAAAAGTATATATTTTAGTTAAAATAACTCAATTGGTGTCTTAGTTAGGTTTATGTTACTGTGATAAAGACCATGACCAGGGGGCTGGAGAGATGGCCCAGTGGTTAAGAACACTAGCTGGTCTTCCAAAGTTCCTGAATTCAATTCCCAGAACCCACATGGTGGCTCACAACCATCTGTGATGAGATCTAGTGTTTTCTCTGGCCTGCAGGGACACATGCAGACAGAATACATTATATGTAATAAATAAATCTTTTTTAAAAAACTGCAAAATGCTAGGAAGGGGTGAGAGAACATTCCACTGCCATGGTGACCCAAGGACAGTCAATAGCAGCACAACCAACAAAGTTTTGCTAATAAAGATGGCCAAAAGAGAAAAAAAAAGCAAGACCATGACCAACTCAGGGAGAAAATGATTTATTTCACTTTATAGTTTATAATCCATCATGAAGGAGTCAGGACAGAAATTCAATCAGGGAAGAAACCTGAAGGCAGGAACTGAAACAGATGCCACAGAGAAATGCTGCTTACTGACATTCACTCATACATATCTTGATCAGCCTGACTTCTTATACAGCTCAGGATCACCTGCCCATTATAGTATTGTCCACAGTGGGCTGGTTCCTCCCATAATAATTGTTAAGAAAATGCCTCCACAGACATCAGTTCTGTGCTGCATCCCACTGAGCCATCTTGCTGGTCCAGTATATTGTACCATTTTATTTTCTTCCCTATTTTGCCAACTCTTCCATCTCAGGAAGAATGGGGGTGTGGGGGAGAGGGGGTTGGCAATGCAGAGGAGGCAGAAACTTTAGTAAATATATTTTAGCTTTTCAAAAGATTATTAAATAGATAAAGTAATTAAATAAGTTGATGATAAAATTCTCCAGTTGAGAAGTGGAAATTGTTTTTTTAGTATAATTCTTTATTGATTCTTTGGTAATATCACATCATGCACCCCAATCCCACTCACCTTCCAGTCCCTCCATGTGTCCCTCTCCCCTGCAGCAAGATCCCTCAAAAGAACATCCCCAAAGCCGGTGGTGGCAGATGCCTTTAATCCCAGCACTCGGGAGGCAGAGGCAGGTGGATCTCTATGAGTTCGAGACCAGCCTGATCTACAAGAGCAAGTTCCAGGACAGCCTCCAAAGCCACAGAGAAACCCTATCTTGAAAAACAAAAACAACAACAACAACAACAACAAAAAAGAACACCCCCCAAATAAATTTAAAACAAGACAAATAAAAAAATCACCTTGCTCCTCTGTCTTCATTTATCCTAGTGGCATCAGGAGCCGCAGTGTGTCACACAGTATACCCTTTGGTCCAATCAGCCTAAAACAAGCAAAATGTTCATTGCACTGAGTCATTGGTCTGATTCAAGGCCTCTGGTCTCTAGGATACCATCATCATTGAACCCTTACTGAAACTGCACTTGGATATCCTGCTGTTGCCCCAACTCATGGGGATCCTGTGGGTATTGTTCCGTAGGATCTGTCCCTTTAGGTGCTCCAGTAGGTCATAGATGGGATAGATGTTAGGGTGGACCAACCTAAGGCCCAGGATGCAAGTCTGGGTGATAGCTGAACTGGTTGGTCCAGGCCACTAGGAGATTGATTTTTTTTTAATCATGAAAAAATTCCAGGGAAGACCAAAATTATATAGTTGATGATCACAAAATAGATGGAAGATTATTAATTTCTCTTCTAGTGTCAAAGTAGACATTAGTTTGTCGGGAAGAACTTTATTTTGGTTCAAAAAAGAAAACTTCCTTGAGAAGACACTAAATGGCAGATGACACAGCTACAGTGTGTGGGCCAAAAGTTATGAAAAGTCTGTCTGGGCCAGGCAGAGGCAGTAAAGGCAAAGCTGAATTCAGGAAATGAGTCATGTCCCCAAGGTGGACTGCCTGATCACAGGCATGGAGACAGACTTTCTAAAGATTTGTTTTTCCTGCCCATCAAGGAGTCTGGGATTGGAGGTATCATCCAAGAATGAAGTTTTGACTATCATGCCAGTTCAGAACCTGATTCATGCTGACTGGGAGCCCAGGTTCAAGGCATTTGTTGACCCTGGGATTACAATACTCATGGGGGTCTGGATAGTTCACATAGCCCCTACTGTCTGACAGCCATCATCTTGGTCAAAATCTCTATGATAGTGTGAAGGTAATTGGCCCTCATGAACTCATAGGGAGTGGCACTATTGGGAGGTGTGGCCTTGTTGAAAAAAGTGTGTAATGGTGGGGGCAGATTTGGAGGTTTCTTGTTTAAACTTTTCTCAGAGTTACGTTCAAATTCCTGTTGCACAAAAGATGTAGGACTCTCAGCTCCTTTTCCAGCACCATGTCTGCCTGAACACCACCATGGTCTGTGCCATGATAATAATGGATTAAACCTCTGAAATTCTACGCTACTCCCTCAAGTAAATGATTTTCTTTGTAAGAGTTGCCATGGTCATGGCGTCTCTTCACATGGATGAAACCCTAAGACAATCTCTATGCAGAGATGTTACTTACAGGACAAGATCAGCAAGCCCCATATTGTTCCATATGAAATGACAAGCCACTATGGCACCATGCTGTGAGCTCCTTCCCCACCCACAGGGACACTGGCATGGTCTCAACATCAGAGCTCCAAAAGCTGTTCTTTATGGCTCCCGTGGATGATAGCTACACCTCAGCCAGGGGCATTACCTCCACTATGGGCAACTCCATTAAGGTCACCTTTGATGCCAACTCCAAGGCCTTCCTATCAGGAATTCACAGGCCAGACTCATTAAACCTGCACCAGAGTCTCCTTACAGAAGAGCCAGGCTTTAGAGGTGACTACCACATGGGCTTTGTTTTTGTTTTTTGTTTTTTAAATACAAGAAAAATGTGAGGCCAGTGTGTGTGGTGGCACAGGCATTTGATCCCAGCACTTGGGAGGCAGAGACAAGCAGATCTCTGTGAGTTTGAGGTCAGCCTTGACTACACAGTGAGTTCAAGATCAGCCAAGAATAAACAGTGAGACCTCAGCTCAAAAAAACAAAGTAAATCTAATGAAATCTGTTTTCAAAAAGGAAAGGAAGAAAATTAACAGAGAATAAGTGGAACACACTATTTGACTATACCCAATAAATTACTTCTTCAAAGGGATTATTTTTTTCCTTACAACTATGAGTATTTTTTTTTCTCTTTTTCCTTTTTGTTTGTTTTGAGACAGTTTCACTATGTAGCCCTGGCTAACATGGAATTCATTCTGTAGACCAGGCAGGCCTAGAACTTACAGAGACCTACCTGCCTCTGCCTCTGAGTTCTGAGATTAAAGGCATACACCACCATGTCTGACACTATTGAAGACTGGTCTTACTATTTAATTCAGACTGACCTCGAAATTGCTATATAGCCCAGGCTAATCTGAAACCCATGATTTTCCTGCCTAAACTTCCTGAGTGCTCAGATTATAGGCATGAGCCACCATACACAGTTTCAAGCCTCATATTTTATTTAATCCTCCTATTAATTTTAGGCTTTAATTTATTTATTTACTCAGACAAGGTGTCACTATGTATCTGATGCTAGTCTAGAAAAACTTAGTTCAAGGTAAACTAAAACTCTCAATTCTCCATCTTCACTTTTAGAATGCTAGAATTATAGACATATACTACTGTGCCCAGTTTCTAATACTTTAATCACAAATTTTAAATTAATATTTAATAATTCTTTTATGAGTACACTATCAGTCAAGTCCTTCTGTTGAGTGTTTTGTTGTCTAAATGTCCTGGTCACATTAACATGAAAACAATTATTTTAGATATATCAAAATTTGCTTTGGTAAATTTCACATTTATATTTAAGTTTTTCATTTATAGTTTTTTAACTGAAAATAGCTTTTGAGGAACCACTACATAAAGTAAGAATATTAGGGATGAGAAGGGAAGGCCATTTTTTAGACAGAAAATCACTTTCTCACACAAGCTATAATTTTATGTATTTGTGGTCTTGCTGAATCAATTTTTTTAAAGATATTGTCCATCTAAGGGATATAAACCTATGAACTAGTATCTGAAATGTAGGGATCTACATCTGAGAAACATTTTACATCTAGATTTTCAGCTTTTCATACTATTCCACATTCTGTCTATATGTCAAGTGGAACTACAGGTAGAAGTAGGTAGTTGGAAGTATTTTGTAGACAAATGCAACTGTTCTGAGAAATTACTTCCTCTGTAAGCCACAAGTGTCTAGACACATCATAATGTGTAATGTAGACGTCCAAGGAATGCCTGCCATGGTCTCCTAAGTCAAGGATTTAACTCTCAGGAACAACACACATGATTACAAAGGCATCTCAGTTGGCAAACATGTCCACTTCCTTTTCTTACAGACTCCTAATTTAGCCAACAACTGAGCTGTAAGCGTGAGAGAGAATAGAAGTGTCTTGAAATAGACAAGCAATTTGACTTTTACATGTCCCCACATGGGCATCTCATGGATTTATTATGATTACCATAACCAGAATAGGTACCAACCCCCTTAAACATGTCTTAATCCTGCCTTAGTAAATGGTACCACTAAACCACAGACATTCACGTTAAAACATACTGCTCATTTTGTCTTTCTATTTGCTTGGATCCCCAAATTCAATTGACGACCCAGGCCCTCCAGAATACATCCTGAATTTCACCATCATCATCATCATCATGACATATTTATTCCAAAGCCATTGTCACTTACCTGAACTTCTGCAAAAAAACAGTTTTCACATGCTTTCATATTCCATCCAAAAGATACAGTCTTCTTTTGCATTTATTGCTAATTGTGGTAGCACACACCTTTAATCCTAGCAGTCAAGAGGCAGAGACAGACAGATATCTGTGAGTTCAAGGTTAGCCTAGTCTACAGAGTGAAACCCTGTATAATCTCCTACAAACTATATTTATTTACTTATTTTGTGTGTGGGGGGTTACATGTGCCACACTGTGTATATGGAGGTCAGAGGACAACTTTTGCCATGTGGTTCCTGGAGAATGAACTCAGGTCATCAGTCTTGGTGGAAAGGATCTTTACCAATTCTCAGTCAGTTAACCAGCTCAGCCATCATCTTTTAAAGTTATAAATGGGGGGTCTGAGAAGATAGTAAAGTGCTTGTTGTACAAGTATAAGGACCTGAGTCAATTCGCAGAGCCTATAAAAGCTGGGTACAGCATGTGTCTATAATCTCCAGAGCTGGGATCGCAGAGACAAAAAGATCCCTAGGACTCTCTCAACAACTAAGCCTAGCCTAATTGCTAAGCCCACAAAATAGGTGGCTTGTAAGGTTGATCTCTGGTCTACATACACACTCAAACATGCACACGTATATGTGTACAAGTGCATGAACACACCAAGTCCTTATCTCTTGATTGATTAATGCAACTGTGTCCGTAGTCTCTCAGTATAATTAGAACAAGTTTTGCCATCCCCAATAAAACTTTATACGATCTGCTTCTGCCTATCTCTTCAATCTCACTCCCTATCTCACTTCTTTATTCAGTTGTACTCAACCATGTTGTACTCTTTTCCTGCCCAAGCTCCTTTGCTCCAGGACCTTTGCACTGCTACTCCCTCTACCTGATAAGACTGTCCTCGGATTTTTAGAACTGTTGCCCCACAATACACATCACAGGAGCTTTTCAGGGGAGCCTTCCTCTTCTTTCCCTTCTCATTAGACTTAAAAAATTAGATGTGGATTTTATTGGCAAATTAAGATAAATATAAATATAAAACAAAGTACTTTCTCTAGTCACTATTATGGAACTTTGTTTTCTTTATTGAAACCATTATCTTACTTTTTTTCTTTGTCTACATGTCTGTTTCCTTATTGTATTTCAGTATAAGCTACATGAGAATGAGGATTTGTTCCAGTGACCCCAGGACTGCCTTGCTGAACCAGTGCATCCCAGCACATACAAGGCCTTTGTAAACTGTAGGTTTTCAATACATATTTGTTAAATGAATAGATTTCAGCTATCTAAGAGACAAGCAAGCGGTGCTCCTTTGACTGGTAATGCTTGCATGCAAAAACTTGAAATATATTGTAACTAAATCTTTTGCTCAATTTAGTTTTTTTTGTTTTGTTTTTTGTATAGGAATCTATTATCACCAGTACCTGTGCAGATGATTCAGATGAGAAACTGTCAACATTTGTACAGCGGCTGTAAAGGAGGAAAATAGGTTAGTATCTATGTTTATTTCAGCATGCCAATGATAAGTTGTTAGCAAAGTGAACACTGAAGGCAAAATCAATGTTGATGTAAGTCTGAAGGCTAACACACGGCTCTGCTTTCCAGGCAGCGGGACTGTGGAATGGCTGCAGCTGCTGCTGAGCTAGAGAATGTGCTAGGAAGGTTTGCACAGCAAGATGGGAAGTAAGAGGAAAGGGCAAGCTAGCTAGAAACACATGGTTAGGAGAAAATGAGATTTTGGTTTTGACTTGTAACATATTTCTCTTGGATAGAGTAGCCTCTGTGTACCTGACCATTGTCTTTAATTCTTACAGAATTTCCAGTAGTATGTGTATTTCCCCACTTCACAATGCATAAGATGAAAAATAGGATTTTAAAAACTTTCCAAAGCCATAAAATTATGCTAAAAAGTGAGACAACAATACAAACTAGTTTTTCATATCCCAAAGCATGCCTTTTCCCTTGCTGGGTTCTTTTACAATGGCACAGCATTGTATCATCAATTTCTTGACTCTGGGCACCAATTATAGATCTTGGCATTGAACCCTTATAGAAACACACCAAGCTGGACAGCAAATACTTCAGCTACTACTGGAAATGTCCAAACTAAGGGAAATGTCCAAACCAAACAGAGTCCAGTGTTTGCTGACTAAGCACGTTTCAAGATTCATGCTCATTCATGCTCTCGTCTCTTCTTACTCACTTGCTTTCTCACTATTCATTAGAGCTCAGCTCAGGTGTTCCACTGCAGAAAGCATCTTCCAGATGCTAATACAAACTTACTGTGGCATGATGTGAAGGAAAGTGTCAGCTTGGCAAAAGCCCCCCAGAAAGCCTGGGTAGACTAGGCAGAATGGTCTAAAGCGCTGGAGCATTCGGCTAACAGAGAAAAAGAAGGATGAAATACAAAACCAAAGATGAAGATAAGCAGAAGAGGAAAATCCTACTGACAAAAATGAATTAGTTACAGGACTAACTCCTCAAGGGAAGAGACTAGACTGTTCCATCCCCTGTGAGAGGTGGGTTGGAGGGCAGAGGTATCAATGATTAATCCATGCTTTCTCCTTCTGAGTTTTATGAAGATCAATAAAGCATTTTTAAATGAAGGAAGAAATAAAAATGGGAGAGGGGTGGGGAGGGGTGTCTAAGACACTACAATGATGAAGAGCAAGGCATTTTGCCCTCACAGTGAGTGAGGAAAGTACATTCTTCCAATTAGGAGACACATAGCTAACTAGCTCAGATATTTGAATTTAGAGTTCAGGATTTTGCAGTTACCAATTGTATGTATATCAGAAAAATGTCTTATCTACTTTAAGCAACAAAATAAGACCCATATTCTACTTCTTTAGGTCATTTCTCACTATAAAATATAAGTAACTTCATTGCAGATGGCCCTTGTGATGTTAAGATAACTCATATAAAAAAGAATATCTAGCATTTATTGGACACCCAATAATAGCAATAGTTATTATTGAGGCTTGGCTTTCTGGAGAAGGAACTATGGTTGGGTTATTATCAAGGTCATATTATGAGGACAGTTCTTCCCTTTAAATGGTGTCCCCTTGGTTAATTACTTGTGTTAATATCCCATGTCATCTACACTGTCTTGGCTTTGGTCTTACAGGAAAGATGGAGTCCAAATGTGATAAGTATCACCTCTAAGCCCAAACAAGCTTGCCAAAGAACAAGAACATTTGTTACTCTGAGTCATTCGGATGATAAAGCCATCTCCCCACAGAGAAGGGTGCTGAGCATAGGAGATAATGCTAATGACACCATACATTTATTTAGTGTTCTACAGTTTAAAAAACATTCTTGCCTGAGAAAGGTTTCTACCTTCATTTTATGCATAAAGGAACAAACACAGAGATGAAGCAACTCAAAGTGACATTAGTAATTAGTCTGGAGCAGGAGCCACCCCAGCTCCTCCAACTGTAAGGCTGGGTTGGTTTGATTTGTCTGTTTGCTGCTGTTTGGTTGGTTTTGTCCATGCTGAGGGTTAAAAGCAAGGACCCCCAAATGCTAAGCAAGTGGACTTCTGCTAGGCCACATCCCAGCTACTATAACAACATAGTGTGGGTGATGTGAACAGGTTAAAAATTCTTACAATGACATCCACAGTGACTTTAAAACAGGAAGAGGCTTTTAGATGAGCCTATCTGTTGATTCTTAGGCTGTGTCCTGAGAACCCAGAAGGAGGGGTGAGAGCCAATGGCAGCTGGGATTGTATGCGGCATAACTTTCATCAGTTAAATTTATAACCCTAAAAGTGATGGGGGATGTCCTTCTGTGTGCTGTGAATATATGTTTCTCTTATTGGCTGGTGAATAAAGCTGTTTTGGTCAATGAACAGACAGGATGTAACCAGGCCAGGTGACCAGACTAGGAGAATTCTGGGGAGAGGAATGTGGAGAGTGAGTTGAGAGAGAAAGAGAGAGAGAGAGAGAGAGAGAGAGAGAGAGAGAGAGAGAGAGAGAGAGAGAGAGAGAGAGAGAGAGAGAGAGAGAGAGAGAGAGAGGAGAGAGACTATGTAGCTACTAGGAAGGTACGATGCCTGGACATTCTCCAATAAGCCGTGACCATGTGGAGATACACAAATTAATAGAAATGAGTTAATAATTAAGAAGGAGCTAGTCAATAAGAAGCCAGAGCCAAAAGCCAAACAGTTTACAATTAATATAAACCTCTGTGTGTTATTTGGGACTAAACAGCAAGCAGAACCAGGCAGGACAGAAACTTCAGTCTACAGAAGGTGTTCTTTTGAACAAATGTTTAGAACATTAAGATTTACAAATAAAATAAAAAAGTTTTTAAAACCTGTTTTAGATCAACTGTCTCTGGCTGGGGGTGTAACTTAGTGGTAGTATGTATATACGACCTGTGTGTGATCCTGTGTCCCATACCCAGCACTGAAAAACAGGTTAAAATAATTGTCTTATTCTCCTAGAGGCCCAAGGAGGTTAGGTAACTTACCTAAATCTCATAACTATCCAAAGACAGACTTAAATCCAAGGTTCATTCTTTAATCATTTGGCTATTTGATAAGCATGTCATAAATGTCCTCACTTTCCAAGTATTTTCCTTTGATAACCTCAAGCAAACCATGAGAGAGAGATTGTCTCTTAATGTTAGTCTCTCCGGGTGACTCAGGAGGTGATCTTCAGAATATCTCCGAATTCTCAGCTTTTCTAGGGGAAAATGGTCTAGACCATTCTCAGTGGAGCTGCTGTGATGGGTGTAGGAGGAAGGGAGTTGTGAGACAAGCATAATAAACCCAGTGTCTTATTGTTTACAAATGCCTGCCAGGAGTGTCACTGCTTCAGAGCTGGTATCACAAACTTGACATCCTCATTAATCTGTCATTCCTCATGCAGAGGGCAAGGAGGTTTGTAGGCACACATTGGATACTACCTGTTTACAAGACACTTTCAGAATTTCTTACCTCCTGGCTTTCTGCAGAGACTCATACATCTCACTGTCTGCTCAGGGGCAGTAAATTTAGGCTGACTGCTCTTGAGACAAAGGCAGCTGTCACTCAAAGGTCTAGAGCCTGGTAGGATCACAAAGCCTGTGGGCTGGCTGTTTCATTTGGAAATTTCCTACCAACCTGTCAGTCTCCCCTCATTCAATACAGAATAGTAAGAAGAGTCTGTCACAGAATCCCAGGCCTTCCCCAGATTTATCTCATTTGCTTGTGATCTTGGTCAAACTGTTCTCCAAACTTCAGCATTCTTACGTGTACCTTTTCCACCTCAGAGGACTGTCAAGGATCAGAAGAGAGAACCCAAGGTGACATGTTTTTCAAATTGGGAAGTAGCTACTAACTGGAGTTCACTGTTTTAAGAGATGTCTCAAACATTACAATTATTTGCAATGTGCCTTTCAACCAAATCCTTCCAATTTTAGAAATACCATGTAAAAGATCAAATATTGGTTTGAAGAGAAATAGTATATTAATTTATGTTTCTCTTTGTAAAAATTAGTAAAATGCAGTATTAAGCAAGACAAAGATAGAATTGGAAGTCCAGTTACCTCCTTACTTAGCATTCATTGTCAAAGAACAGTAAAGACTTATATTTCCAACTGAAAATATTTAATTTAAAAATAAAACCAAAAGGACTTCAACAGAATTACTCCAAGTATCACAAATCTGTTTTTATTTGTTTGTTTGTTTGTTTGTTTGTTTGTTTGAAAATGAGGTCTCATTCTGAAGTCCAGGCTGGCCTGAAACCCGTGATGTAGCTAGCCTATGCTGGCCTCTATCTCACAGCACTCCTCCTGCCTCAACTACCAGATGTTAGGACTACAGATGTGAACTAGGCTTATGCCAAACCTCTAGCTGCCTCACCAGCAGGGATTTCTCTGTGTATCCATGATGATCCTTCCAAAAGTCTGGACCTAGTTTTCATTGTGCAGACAACCCAGTCACAGAAGCCAAGCAGTATTTTAAGACTGCAGTATTTACTAATGGATGTCTGGCTAGAAACAGTGTTGGCAGAACCCTGGCAGAGGCGTTGACTCTCCCTAATGATGTGGAACTGGGCTGCATAATTATGTCCACTTGGATTAAGTCTACTCAAGGCTGTCATGTTTTGCAATGGAACCAGAAACAAGCTCCCACTCCATGCCACAGTGTTGGGATTTTCCTGCAATGACATCAGAACATCAGAACTTGTTCAAACATTCCTGAAATCTTCACCCAGCCATTCATTTCATTTTGGGACTTTCTTTACAAAACTGGCTTTACATAGTACAATATGTATCATTTTGTTTCATAGAATGCTTTGACCTAAGGATAGTATAAACTATAAATATGATCCCAGGTCAGAAAAAAAAAAACACCTTGGAAACAAGCACTGTGTGTTCTTGAACAAATAGCATATTCCTAATATAGAAAGACAGGCAGTTTATCCCCTATCTCCAGCTCCAGAAAAGCAACTACCTGTTATGCATTATCCATTTATTTTCTAGCTGTTTCTGAGACTA